CAAATCTCTCAAATTAGCCTTTTCTTCATCTCCCTCCTATAATTACTTTATCTATAAAAAGAAAAAGAAAAAGAAAATATGGACCTCTCTTTCACTCTACTTCCCTTTCCCCTCAACTCCCTCATTCCAAACAAACAGGGGCTAAGCAAACACCCTAAACAGAGGCAGAGTGGTTATTTCCTTTGACAGAGAAAGAGGATAAGAGAAAAAAGATGGATGCCATGGGGAAGCAGCTCGATGTGCTGATGGACGCAGACTGCAATGGCGACGTAAGGGAGGTGAATCGGAAGTACTACGACCGCGATGTCTGCCTCCTCTACTTGTCCGGCCTTTGCTCTCACGAGCGCTTGCAATTAACGGTTTTCTCCTCATTGATTCGTTAATCCGTTTCTCTTTTCTTTATGCTTCGATAATTAATTGTTAGTGGTTGGCATCCATTTTCTTTCCCTTTGAACCCTACTATATGTTTTCGAAGTGATTGTCTGTGTTTGATTTCTGAGAAAATTTGGGTTTTAGAAGCAGTACAAGTTTTTGGGGAGTGGGTGGGAGCAAGGTAGAAACCTAGAAGGGAAAGTGACAGATGTACACCATCTGGTTTTTGCAATGTAGCCAGAGTTATGTTGTTGTAACTCCTAATTTTGGAAACCAAATGGTTAGGTTTATTTTCTTTTTAAATCTTTGCTTCTGTTATATAAACCAAAAAATAATTGATGGATGCAAGTGAGGTCATTTGTTTTTATTTGTTAAAAATGTGATTCTTTATGGGAGAGACGAATGTGGCAAGGAATCAGATTTTTTAAGGGGGAATTACATGTATTTAGCAAGACTAATACTAGAAGCATTTTGAAAGTGGTTTATAATAATGAAATATAAAGAAATAAGAGAAAAGAAGGGTATATATATGGAAAATTCTGTCAATTAGGGAGGAGTCTAGAAGGTGTACATGGAATTAAATTAGGGTAGGATGGTATGCAGAGTTTGGGTGCGTTTGGGATTGAGATTGAGGGCTTTTTCTTGTAACTGTACAATGCTTTTAGATATATGTGTGTTCAGTAATTTTGTTTCGGGTTACTTTTTTCAAAGCTATAGAAAGCCACAATAGGATCACAGTAATTATATATATAAGCCAAAAGTAGGGATGGCAATTTCCCTCAATCCTCGCGAGGTCTCGCGGGGATCCCCGTCATGGGGACGGGGCGGGAAGGAATATTCTTCCTTGCGGGACAAGGATGGGGGGTATTTTCCCCTGCGAAATTTCGCAGGGAATTCCCTCCCCCCCCTAAGGGTCTCGCGGGGATCCCCATCCCCGCAAAAATTAAAACAAATATATATTAATTTTATTTTAAATTTAATTCATCTTTCAAACTCAAACTCAAACCCAAATGCAAACCCAAACACAAACTCAAGTTCAAACTCAATTCAATC